ACGAATCTAAGGATGTACTGTACCGCAGTTACGGTCTGTTTTCAGGTTTGTCCTTTCTTCTCTTTACATATTCGTCAAAATAATGAGCTATGTTGATAGTTTTGTAATTTTGCATGTTTTGCTGCTGTCGTTGCTTTCATTTATTGGAATATGCTGCACTGTTTTGATCACCCCCTCCAACACAGGCATTCAAAGGGCAATTAAGGGGTTAATACGGTATCCAAACAAAGCGGTCATGACGAATATAAGCATTTAGAAATATAGATATTCAAAGACGGGCGTGTAACGCTTTCTTTTGCACAGGCACTGCTGCCGGACCCAGAGGGAGGCTCGCCTTGAAGCTCGCGATATCCTCAATGATCACGGTACCCTCTCTCAATTCGGCCTTGCCACCATTGACTAATGTAACGCCTTCTGTCGGGTGTGTGCGTGCCAGCTCTTCAATGGAGTTTAACAGCTTTTCCTTGACGGTGCTGGCGAGACCCGGCGCCTTGCTCAAGTTCTCTGTCCAGAATCCTTTAACGGCGTCGAGTGCTGGTTCCGCCTTTGAGAGCTCTCGGTATTGTTCCTCCTCGACCGGGATATTATTACTCTTTAATATAGTCAGGTATGCTTCCGACGCGGCCACGCTGAACTTCGCGCTGGGCGTGCTGGGCACTTTTTGCGAACGCAAATGAACCGACAACTTTCTCCGTTGTGGTGAATTGGGGTGCACGTAAGTGTCGAAGAACTTGACCAAATCCTCCAGTGTTGTGGTCCTCAGAATATCCACGTCGTCCTCATCTACACAAGTCAGTCAAGTGCTCATGGAAAGTAAGTACTTATAGTACTCACGTCGAACGAAATCGCAATATCCAGAAGTAATATGACTCCAGAAGCGGCTGGTCTCACTGTAGAGATTCTCTAACTTCTCCAGCTTTCGCGAGATGAGGCCATCCTTTTGCTTCTCGAACTCCTCGGGGGTTGTCGCTGCCAGTTGTGCTTTATACGCTTCCAAAAATGCATCGACGCGCGATTCGAGATAAACGGGTTCCCGTTCGCTCTGCAACAGGAAACGGAGACCCATAGAACCGCGTGCTTCCCATCGGGTGACAAAAACAATGTAACCAAGCTGCTGCTTGGTCCGCAGTTCGTCGAATGTGGGTTCCCGCATCATGTGCAACAGAAGGCTATTCAAAGCGCGCAGTTCGCGTTGCGCAACGTTGCCGACATGGCAGAAATAGGCCAGACTAGAATTAACCTCCTTGGGATTAGGCACTTCTGTCCTGTAGACATATTTGGAACCTAAAGGTGTCTGTCAAATGAGAAGTGATGCAACAGTCACGTGACCCCATACCTTCTGGTAGAATCAGTGAGCGTTCAGTCAACTTTTCAGAGGGAGTGACAGGACGAGCTCCGAGTACATTTTGAGTGAGTGAGAGCAAGTTAGTTGCTTCCTGTGAGCAATTTGGTTATTCAGCTTTGATACGCAACGTCACTTTTACTTACCGCTTCTTTGAGATTTCCAGTCGCAAGAGACTCGATGTAGACTCTGGACAAGAGCTGTTCAATGTGTGCTTGAACCTCCTCCACCGTTACAGCTTAGAGTATCGATGTCAGCAGCTGTATAGGAGACTAAAAGCAATCAAAACCTACTCTCAAGTTCCGCTAACTTCTCCTTTGGTGTCCACGCCGTTTCCGTCAACAAATAACTAGTCCAAAAGTCCGAAATCCGATACGGCTCGCTCAGATAGAAATTCTCATACTCCTGTTTGAGCTACAGGGAGAGTAAATTCAATACATGGGAGCTAGGTCATGGCGGACGATTGGATACTGACATCTTCTTTGATGACTTCGAATCGTGCTGGATCAATCTTGAAGTTTTTCATGGTTTCCAAGACAGTTTTGAACAAGACTGGAATCTGGAGGGAAGATGTAAGCAGCGTTCATATCTCGAATGCAAAGTGTCAACCTTCTCATTATATCCAGATGCTGCAAGAAAAATACCACGATCGTAACTGCCAAAGCTGTAAATCAATCCTGCAAGCGAAGCTGCGTAGGAATATTCAGTGAGCGCGTCATTCACAAGCTCCGTGTACATTCTGTGTGACCTTCGTCAACGTTCCGGAACGCAGAAGAAGAGAATCATAATCACTGTGACTTCAATGCATGTCTAGGAGTCAAGTGCGCGAGGGGACTAGAAAGACAAAAGTATAAGATAAGAGTGAATGGTCCGGGTATAGGAAATGACTTACGTGATAACATAGGCGTTGAAACTGCCTTTAGGCACCCAGAATTGGTCATCCTTCTTGTACCACAACGTAGATAACGGGGTATCTTCAATCAGCGCGGGGGATTTGGCAGGCTGTTGTAGGAGGTAAGAATATGACGGGTAAGACCAGGCCAATGGAAAGGCAAACCTCAATCACGAGCTTTTTCTCGACATCCAATTTCGATGGGATGAATGCATTGGGTCTCGGTAAGAAAAGTTCTGGGATGTCATTTGGGGCTTGCGCCTGCAATGCCGCGAGGTGAGTCCATATTCTCGGACATTGATGCATAAGGAACAACACGCACCTCCTTCAAGAACTTCTCGTCAAATTTCCGAACCCTATACTCCGTCCCATACCACGTCTCGTGTTCCCAACCCGAATTGTCCTGGAACTCCTTCGCTATAACCATAACTCTCGACTTCTCCGGCCTGAATGCCTCGAGAAGTTCCCGGACCTTGCCTTCGTCCCAATCCCAAATACGAGTGGCACCACTAAGAATATGCTCCCGCAGGTACGGCTTGTTCATGGTACTCGCAATATCAGAAACATAGCTCTCTGCACGCTCCTTCTCAGTGAACTTGAACTCGATATCACCCATTGCGCGAATCTCGTCATGATGGAACCGCTCTAAGGCAGACGACCGAAGCAACGAGATGTACTTGTATATGGTCAAAAGCACGGTCTCGTAGTTTTCTGTGACGTGATAAAGAAGAAGCTGAGTGAAAAAAAAGACATTATGACAGAATACTCACCGAGGCCTTCCTTAGTAAGTGACACGTGGATCCCAAACTTTCCAAACCCGCGGCCTTGGGAAGAATTGCCGGCGCTGACACCCGTACTCCAGCCTTTACCTTTGAGATACGAGTGGATTGATCCGGGGCCTTCGTGGCCAACGAGGTGGCCGAGGAAGTTTCCAGGTTTGGAGCGGTAGAGCGGGGACTGCCAAGGGAGATGGTAAGTCACGTCGACTGCGCGGACGTCCATCACAGTCTTAGTTTCAACAATGCTCTAAGAGAATGTGATTAAACTCGGGCAAGCACATGTCACCTGAACATATAAACACATACTCCTTGCATATCTGCACTAAGTGGTGACTCTGTGATGATGGGGGCGGGATCCTGCGAACGGTTGAGAATGGGTGAGAATAGGGTCGTCGTCAGCTGCGTCAGTTCGTCGAGAGATTCTACGCGACGAGCGGGGTATTAGTATAGTTCCCCTGCAGCGAGTCGCCTAACTCACCTCGCCCGACAACGGCAAGTCTCATTCTACCCGCACAATATTCCGTTTGCCACCACTCGACGAGTCGCCGACGCGTCTCGCGTCCGACCGGACCACCATCCGGATCTGACTCGGAAGGCAAGGCAGGGAGTGGATTAGCCGGGTCGACCTTGTCAGTTACAGTGCTGTCAGGGTGAGCCATGTCATTGCCATTTACAACACCATTGGGGTGAGCCACGCCATTGCCATTTGTAATACCATTAGGGTGAGCCACGGTGTTACCATTTACAGTACCATTGGGTTTGGCATCAAATGGCTGTGTCTGGGAGCGATACGCAACGCTGCGGCCGTAGGCACTCAATGTATTGCGGTGTCCGGTACCAAACTTAATCCAGGGGTGTTTCCGCACGGCACCATCTTTGTGTGCATCATCATCTGCGGAGCACGTCGTGTAGCGTTATGACTTACCTGGACCCTTAATATCGCCACTCAGACTCTTGCCAAGCTGGAATAGGCGCCACCTGTCGCTCTGCGAGTTTTTCTTGTGCTCAGAGTCCACTGCGTTGAGTTCGCGGGCTGTACCAGCCTCAGAGAAGAGGGGAGAGTGGAAGAACGAGGCAAACATCTCCAATGCGTAAGGTAGAGGGGATTTTCGAGGGACAGGGGTAACGGCGCCACTGGGTGTGCCATTGGGTGTGTCATTAAGTATGGGGGTGTTAGTTCCAGAGGAAGGTGGAGTCGACGTTGAAGAGACAGAAAAGTAGTAGTTTGTGTTCGAAGCTCCTGTATATGCATTTGTATGCCCACCGTGGGCAGAAATATACTACAATAGATGAATGAGCACATGACGCCGTCTCCGCGGCAGAGGGAAGATGTACCTCATTATAACCGTTTTCTTTTGGGAATTGTTTTGTTCCCTGTACAATGTCAGATGGAGCGTCTTATGCTGGCGAACGACATACCAAAAACAGCATGTGCTCGCAGAAATGAGCCTGCATTCGATATTAGTGAAACTACATCTCAGAACGACTCGTTTCAAACATACAAGTCCGGGCATGTCATCCTTCCCGAGCAACGATGAGTCAATGGAACACGGGTGTGGCAACGGCACTCACAGGATCGTTCAAATGTCCAACAGCGATATCCATGGCGGCGGCACTCGTGTCAGCATCCTTGTCGTGGATCAACAAGGCTTCGAGGCCGTTATTGAGCTTGACGAGACGGTACGCGCGGTCATCCTGCACAGGTTTCTCGATTGGCTCTGTGAAGACCGCGTAACCCGGCGTGACAGACGTGGAGGGCACAGAGCGCCAGCGCGAGTCAATAGTTGCATATGGAGCCATGTGTGAAAGACGCGGTTTTATACGGGGAACACGAAAGCTAAGAGCAGGTCTGAGCAACATTCCATCGAGGCTTAAGTAATCGCGGCAAAAAATGTGGCGGTTCCGAGAACCCTATAAGGTACCTCATCAGTCAGAAAAGGGGTGGCGAGATGAAATAATTAATTATTTGCAGCAAAAGGGAAAACACTAACCCGAGCGAGGATCGAACTCGCGACCAATGCATTTCTAGCAAAGATTTACCCTATAAGTACAACGCTCTAACCAAACTGAGCTACCGGGTTGGATAATTGTATCGTTCTCTGAAGTCGTGTTATAATCTCCCCGTCCTCGAGTATACATACCGTGCGAGACTGGGCCTCAATAAGGCTGAGCACAGGATACGCTCGCAATCACACGAAGGAAACCCTTTTTTATAATTAGAGTACAGCGACGCGGTTGTTGCCCAGCAGCCTCAGCCCGGGAAAAATAGGCGACACGGTTCATTAATTCCGACACAAGCGCATAGTCTGCCCGACGCCCGACTTGGACCCGCGAGAATAACGGTGAGAGCAGCCCGCAGACAGCAGTAGACGGAAAATAGGACAATTGTCGGACTGAGTGGATCGCAGCATCGCTCGCTTGGGTTGGCCGTCAGCGGCCGTCAGCACAGTTGTCCCGCGAGAGAGCCAGTCGACGTCGCGCTGGTTGGAACAGACGAGTCTCAAGCTGTCTCAAGCTGTCTAGAGCCATCACTGAGCTGATATTCCCAAAAAAGGAGTAACGGAGGTACAGCAGCGAAGATGGGGGCAGAGGCAGAGTTGGTGATGGCTTCCCAGACGAGGAAGGCCGTCGGCACGTGACACGGCTCCACTGTGGCTGGTGGAGTGGTGGTGGTGCAGCTCCGATAGCCCTCTCAGACTCAGTTCTCCACTCAGTTCTCCCCTCCGTCACTTTGCACCAGCTCATCGTGACCGACGGCGACGAGACGTCCTGTTCCGTGTGCCTCGCCATCAGAGACGTGGTGGCCAGAAACGCCAAGCGCTGATCCCAGCCCAGACTCGCATAGACTGTGTCTAGAACCTGCAGCTAGACCATGGACCGTCAACAGGCCCAACAGAGTCCACAGAACCCACCATATTCACATCCACACCCCCTCTTTCCCTCGTCAACCCAGCTCCCCCCGCCGTCCCACCTCCATCTCCCGCCGCCGCACTCCTCGTCCTTCCGCTCCAACACCCTTCCGCCCTTGTCGCCCTTGGCTGCTGCTGGTTCTTCCCGTTTTCCGCCTGCTTCGTACCACCCCTCCCTGTCGTCTCCCTATTCAAGCAGTACCACCGCCAATCAGAACCCCTGGCCCCAACATCGTACTTCCAGCGCCCGGGAAGACGTAAAGCCTGTTCTCCATCCCCACTCTTCCCCAAATGATATTTCCAAGGGCAAGGGCCCCGATAGAGACATGCCTCCCCCTCCCTCCAGGGACAGGTCATATCTCGACCATCCTCCTCCAAAGGACGTCGATGATGGCATGCCTCCCACCAGCGACTTTGTCAAAAAGCTCTACAAGTCAGTTCCCGCTTCTTATCGCGTGCTTCACTCACAGCCCACCAGAATGCTTCAGGACAATACCTATTCAGATGTAGTTTGCTGGGGTTCCGGTGGTGACTGTTTCATCATCAAGGTATACTTTCGATCAATCTCGATCGCAGCCCATGCTCATTCTCCTGCAGGACATGACCGAGTTCACAAAATCTATTCTTCCTCGCATGTTCAAGCACTCCAACTTTGCTAGTTTCGTCCGTCAGCTCAACAAGTACGATTTCCACAAGGTAAAAAACAACGAGGAGAATACCTTCGGTGACCACAGCTGGACTTTCCGCCATCCTGACTTTCAGGCCGACCGGCGCGAAGCGCTTGAAAATATCAAGCGAAAGGTTCCCTCTCAGCGTAAATCCGCGAATACCAAGGCATCTGTCGCCCCCAGCAACAGCACAGGCCCACCTACTCTCACTGCTTCTCCTAGCTCACCCGCATCGCCGCCCGACTCAAACATTATTCAGTCCATGCAGTCCCAGATCGACAGATTATCAAGAACCGTGGAAGAAATGTCCACTCATTTTCGCAGTCTCGAACACAACTATCAGAGTGTCCTCGGCGAAATGGTCAACTTTCAGCGCAACATGGCCCAGCAAGACGGCCTCATGCAGAACCTCATTCAATATTTTCTACAGCTCGAAAACGGTAGGGTTGAACCTACTTGTCATCTCCCTGACGACGGCGCTGACTCCGTCGACTGGACTCCCTTGTCCCTGCCATTCCCAGGTAAGCAGAAAGAGGACCAATCCGTCCAGCTCCCACCCACCGAAAACCAGTTCGTCCCTGCCTCTGAGGCTCAGCGTATCATCGGTGGTGCCTACCCAGAAACGGATGTCGCACGTGCCTCCTTTGAGCAGATGAACGAGATCTCCCGCCGTGCTAACACCGCCGGCATGCAGTTTACGGGCGCAGCTACCCCGCCCCTCTCTGGCTCTCCTGTTCCTGGCCGGTCAGGGAGCCCGCTCACGCGGCAGGACGCGCTTCAGCGCATCGAGGAACTGCAGCGCGCACGACCGACATCTGCACAAGGCCGGGACGAGGCGCAGAATCAATCTTCATCGCCGTCACAAGAACAGCAGCAGCAGCAGCAGTCGCCTACATTCCCTAGTATCCCTGATGGTCTAAGTAACCTGTCGGGAGGGAGCCTGAATGGGAACGCCAACGGCGATGTGCCATTCCCTGGCCTACAGGTGTTTACAGTAGGTCACCTTCTGCCTCGCTCGTCCGCAGCGCTGGACGACGGCACATGGTCATTCGATCCCTCGACGCTGCAGCTTCCCGCTCCGCCCGCTGTCACGCAGTCCGCTACGTCCTATGCGGGCCTAACTGCTGGCCCTAGCAAGAGCAACGGTGTTGCGCGCCGCGTACCCACACCACAGCGCCTTCGTGTGCGGCGTTCCACGTTTGTTCCTGGATGGGCAGTTCCGCCACGCGTGCTACTCGTGGACGACGACGCCGTTAGCCGCAAGTTATCGAGTAAGTTCTTGCAGGTGTTCGGCTGCACGATCGACGTGGCGGTCGATGGGGTTGGGGCGGTCAATAAGATGAATTTGGAAAAGTATGATTTGGTGTTGATGGTAAGTAAGCGTGTAATACGGCGAATGCTGTGCTCATATTGTGTTGGATGCTCTCGTAGGATATTGTGATGCCCAAATTGGACGGGGTGTCGGCGACGTCGCTGATTAGACAATTTGACCCTATGACACCGATCATTTCGATGACAAGCAACTCTAAGCCGAACGAAATTTTGACATACTATTCGCATGGTACGCAGAGTTAAGAGGTACACTTACACTAGCCTGACACTAACCCCGCTACAGGTATGAATGACATTCTTCCCAAGCCATTTACTAAAGAAGGCCTGCTTGACATGCTCGAAGTGAGTAACCCAAGTTGTTTACGCACCCCTGATTGCATTGACCGTACTCTACCACAGAAACATCTTATGCATCTCAAAGTCATCCAAGAGATGGCTAAAGTCCCGCGCGGACCTGGTATACCCCCGCTCAACGACGCCGCCTTCAACGAAGCGCTCATCGTCGGCAGTAGTAATAACCCCTCCACCGTTGCCAGCAGTAGCACAAACACGCAGAGCCCGCTCCCACTTCCGCCCATGTCAGAGGACGACGCGCGCATCAACCCGCTCGCGGGCCTCGGACTTTCGGACGAGCAGTATGCACAGATCCTGCAGACTATCGTCCACGGGGATACATTCAGTGGAATCGATGATACTGTAGGTGGTGCCGGAGTGGGTGCCGGCGGACTCGGGAAGCGCGCATTGGATGACCCTGATCAGGATCCTAGGGATGAGAAACGCAGCCGGTTTCAGGTTGTGGAGTGACCGTTATCGGTTGTTTGTTGAGGAAGAATGTATCGATTATTGGAGCTTGATCTGTGTATTCTCGTTTCTCCCTCCCCCCTTCCTACCACCAGCGGATACCCACCGTGTGAAGAATACCATGCACAGTTTATCTTCCCTGCATTTAGACCTAAGATAGCGGACACTTAGTTTCCGCAACCTTGAGCGCCGGTCGGGGCTGTCCCACGGCGATGGGTTCTGCTCGGTGACTATCAACCAAAGCACAAAATGGTGACCATAGGATTATTCCCAAGATGCTATTCTATCATTCCATGGTCTTAGTTTTTTAAATTAGGACAAATGGCAGTCACTAAAGTTCAAAAACATGTTTTTGTCAGAAATATGTCTAAACCATGTTTCCTATACCAGGGGTGAAATTTAACTTTTCGGCTTCTGTGATTTTGGCCGCTTACATCGCATCTCGGCAATCTCCAACCACCTAGCAGAGTCTGAATTCTAGTAGGTGTTTTGGCACCATGCTAGGTGACAAGCCTGTATGTCTAATAGACTGTAGAGGAGTTCTTAATAGCTCCTTAAAGAGTATACCTATGGCATTAATCACCTCCCAGCCCAGCCCATCCCTGATTTGAGAGGTCCATGTAACCATCTGCCCTGATTTTGGCCACTTAACCCTAACCCTATGCTTACAAATGGGCGCTAAACGAGCATTTAGAGGTTGTGGGAACCAAATGTCTGCTATCTTAAGGCTGTCAAAGGTGTCTCAAAGCCCCGACTGTCAGACCTCAATGACCCGTTTACAGTTCCTGATCTTGAAATCTACCCATCACCTTCTCCCCTCCCCTCACAGGGAATGTTGGAAAACCCCGAAACTCCATATTTGGTCTGATATGGGCTATTAGGTCATCGGGTTGAGGTTTCCTCTGATAAGACATAATGAGTCAGAGAAAGCTGACCATGATACATGTGATCTGATCAGATGTATGGGGTGTGATCAGGCCTGATAAGGGTTGACCCATAAATTGGTTGAACAGTAGATATCACACGATTATACCACTTACTTAATGGTACTTGTGTGATTATATTTTACATTGGATTACTTACTGGGATCACATGAAATTAACCACCTAGGTAGCCCAGTATCATGTTAGTGAAAACAAAGTGTTGGGCCGGATGGACCCAATAACTATGTAAGTTTCACAGTGGGACCTTCATACCGCAAATATTACTGCAAATACCTCCCACCTCTGAGAAATAAACCAACATATTTGACTGGCTCACCGGTGACCTTCGAATACACCTCTCCGCTGCGTCATTCACACTTCCGCACCGGCACTCATCGCCGTGCGAATGACATCACGGGCACCATGGGCACCCACATCACGCATCCAC